TAAAATTTTTAAAAAAAGATTATATAATTGTCAGGGAAATTTAAAAAGAAAAAATGCTGGAGATACTATCCTTTCTAATTAACCATTAGAATATTTACTCCATTAAATGCAAAAAAGAAAATATACTTACTGATACTTTCTGGCTTGTATTATCACCATGGAGTGTGAGAAATGGGTTAGTGGTAGCTGTGTGAAGTGGTGGTGGCTGAGTACCTGCAAGTAGGTTGTTTATTGGTATCTGTGTTGGGCCAGGAATCTGTATCTGCTGCAGTTCAGGCTGGTGGTGCTGCTGGTGGTGATGCTGCTGCATCAATTGATACAAAAGGGCCTGATGTTGTTCCTTAGGAAGAAGCATGTGGGGAAAGTGAGTTTTCAATTACAGAATTCAAATTTTCCTTTCTTTCTTCCTATCTTTAATAGTAGATATAACATGTATGTATAAGTACATGCTAGCTGCAAACATGCTAAGAAAGAAAATGGGTATCATGAAAAACATGCGACACCCGATAACCACAATCTCCTATATAATGACAATATTATCAGTAATGTTATTTTTGAAACTAGCCAAAGAACTCTTAAAAAAAATGCATCGACTTGATTCTGATGCATAACGACCCCACAGGATGGAGCAGAACTGTTCTAGAATTCCCAACGCTGTCATTTTTACAGACACAAATTGGCACATGTTTCTCCTGTGGAGCAGCTGGTGGATTCAAACTACTAGCCTGATAAGATACAAAGTGCTTCACTGCTGTACCACCTAGGCTCCTTTCAAACAAATACAGGAGAACCTTATTAAAATTGGTCGTCCAATTCTTTGATACTCATGCCCTACCCAGAATGAGCTGGACAGATGCAGATCACTTGAACAGACCCATCACAAAAGAAGAAACTGAACAGGTCATAAAAAGACTTCCCAAAAGAAAAGTCCTGGACCACCAGATGGCTTCACAGATGAATTCTACCAGACATTCAGAGAAGCTCCAACACCAATTCTACTTAAAGTATTTTAAAAAATAGAAAAAGAAGGAACACTCCCAGATTCATTCTTTTTTTAATTCTTATTTTTGTGTGCATGAACCATCAAATCAGATCTGACTGGGACAGGAGGAGACTGCCCCTCCTTCTCCAGCAAAGAATCTGGTGGATTTGAACCACGTACCTCTAGGATTGCAGTGCAGCTTCTTGCCACTAGGCCTCCTCCCAGAGTCATTCTATGAAGCAAGCATAAACCCAATACCAAAACCAGACAAAGATATTACCAAGAAAACTACAGACCAATACTTCTCATGAATATAGATGCAAAAAACCTTAACAAAATCCTAGCCCATAGAATCCAAAAGCACATCAAAAAAATTATTCATCATGACCAACTGAGATTCATAATAGGTATGCAAGGAAGGTTCAACACTAGAAAAACAATCAACGTGATTCACCATTTTAAAAAAGCAAGTAAGAACCACATGAAACTGATGCAGAAGAGGCCACTGACAAAATCCAACACCCCTTCCTAACCACGCAAAACAGGAATAGAAGGGAATTTTCTCAACATAGTGCAAAGTATACATGCAAAACCAAGAGTCAGTATCATTTTCAATGGAGAAAGACTAAAAGCATTTTCCTTGAGGACAGGGACCAGACAAGGATTCTGACCATCAGCACTCCTATTCAATACTGTATTGGAAGTGCTTGCTAGGGCAATGCGACAAGAGAATAAAAGGTGTCCAGACCTAGGGGCAACCATAGAGATCATAAGAGACAAAACAGGACCAAGCATAAAACGCCCAGCCCATGGTAGAAAAAGGCTGATGAATACATCTGGAAATAAGCAGCCAGGACAGGATAAAAGTGATGAATGGGACCTTCTAAAGATTAAATTTCTGTGCACATAAAAAAAAAATTATAGTACAAACAATGGAATACAACGCAACACGCAGGAGTAACGATTTTGTAAATTTCTACATAACTTGGATGGGACTGAAGATCGTTATGCTAAGGGAACTAACTCAGTCCCGTAAAGACAACTACTGTATAAGACCATTATTGTTGGAATAGATAACTAGTAAAACATGTATGAGGATACAAGGGGGGGGGTGGGGATGAGCAGAAGGTGGAGATGGGCGGGGGGTAGGTTGCTAATAGGGTCACACAACTGGCGGTCCGATAAAGTGAATGGAAAAGATCTGGTGTGGAAAAACAATGTATACGAACTTTGTAAAGCAGTATAAAATAAAGTAGGTTGTCCATGTAAATCAAGAACAGCAACTTAGATAAAATCAAATTATTTAATCATCTTGATGAATCTTGTGAGTCAAATATTTGATGTAATTCTGCTCAGAGTGAAAACAACTTTAAAGTTCTCATTCATGATTAATAGTGAAGATGTTTTCTAGATTTGGTTGAGTCTACTCTTTAACACAAGCATTATGTCTATAATGGATCACAATAATGGATTTTTATAACCTGTTATCTTCTCTATTCTGTATCTTAATAAAAAGTATCCAATTGTTCAGCATTTTTCTTTCTTAGATGTGAAACAAATAGGACATGGTTCTTAACAAAACAGACCTCAGATCAAAACAGGGTTTTTTTGCCACGTAAAGCACCATTTTCTCCTATATTGGCATATCAATAACCTCTTCCAATTAAGACTATATTGTCTCTCTCTAAAATGTAACTATTTTAAAGACAGATAAGGAGAATCTTTCTTGGTTCAGTTCTGTCACTTTATCCAATCTATATCTAAAATCCTTTTTCCTTTATCACCTTGCAGTAAGGGACTTTAGCCCTCTTGGTCCTCTGAGGCAACATCCTTTTATCCTAACTGCACTGGATGCTATTCTCAGATATTCTACCAGTGTTATTCCTTGATCCAGAATTTTAAAACCTCTGCCCTTACCTGTCATGGTCATCCATCTGTCAAAACACAAGGGCTTAGAGAAAGATGTCTGATTACTTGACATGTACATCTTGTGGATTCTAATAGATCTTTCTTAGCCCAAATACTTTAATAACCAAAACATTTCATTGTTTGGATTAGGATGGTTGTGTTCTCTCAAGCAGGTTTAAATGCCGTGGTTCCTGTCATGTACAAGTGGATACCTAAAACTTAAGTGTAAATTTATTTAAAGGAAAAACATCAAAACTAAAAAGGGAGAATTTTAGAGCAATCATGGCTGTTTGAGTAAGTGAAGCTGAAGTTTCTCCTGAGTTTCAGAATTCAAATTTATTATGTGTGTGATTCAGCTATTCTTTGGCTTAAGAGAGCTAGCCTGAGAACTGTTAATATTTTTACTGTTTTCTACAGAGCACGTATTTTCTATTTATGTAAGAAAACAATCCAATGGACTTTTAAAATACAACTCATTTTTAAATTGGAACTGTCTTATACATAAAATGCAATGTCTTTACTGGAAAGTTAAAATACAAGTTTATGCCATAATAAAGACAATAATACTATTTACATTTTTTTGTTTTCTAAAATGAAAATAGCTAGAGGTTTTTATGATTAAAAATAAAGAATGCTGGATATAATAATTGAGATATGGGAGTAAAAACTAACCAAAAATCAAATCCACTTTGCTATCAAGTTGTTTGTGACTCATAACAAGTCTGTGTGAGATTGTAAGGTAGGTTACACCTTCTGACCATTGGGTTAACAACCCAGCACTTGAACTACTGTAATTCCAGCACGATATTAACAAATAAACATCATGCAAAATTTCACTTTTAATTTTTGGTGAACCAGCTACAACACAATCGTATGTTATGGACTCCTTTCTGTGAGTGCAAATCTACGATAAGAGTTTTATTAACTGCATGGGCTTTCATGGTATGGATATACCACTGAACTAGGACTCTAAAGATATGCTGATGGTTTTATAATTTTCACTATTACAAACAACCCTAAGTTTGTTGGGTTTGATTTTTTTTTAATAAATCTGTATAAAGTGGAATTATAAGGCTAAAGTGAAATATGTATTTTAAATTCTGATACAAGTTGCTCTGAGTCACCCAGTAGTGTACTGCGAGAACCTGCCAACCTACAGTGCTGCAGCCCTAGATTTTGCCAGTGTTCTACGTGCAAAATAATATTTAAAATGAGGGTTCATATCATACTTGGGCTGTTCATGTATTTTTTGTTGTTGCTGTTAATTACATTAATCTTGCCAGTAGATTTAGAAATTCTTTATATGTAAGCCAAGAACAACAGGTCATATATCAAATACTTTTCTCTAATTTATTTTAAATGTTTATGTGGAGTAATTTAAGTCAGTTTGTAATACTTTATTGGAAATAAAACATTTTTTCAGGTTATAAAAAATAATCTCTACCTTGCTTCCCTTTTGACCTCATTTCCTCTCCCTCTCAACAAATTATTATAGTAGTTAGACTAATCTAGGTAAGAAAATGGTCATTTTCACTTTTCTATTCAAAAGTATCCAATTAATTCACCAATGTAATCCTGGGGAAAAGCTAAATATGCAATTAAATTAACAAAATAGGAATAATTATTAAAATTAATAATTTTTTCACCTAAGAAGGCTTTACCACCACACTATGCTCATTAGGTTTGGTATGCCCAAAAATTATAAAACATTTAAAACTTACCAGCAGCTTCCTAACATAAACTCATATTTCTTTTGCCATAAAGAAACAGAACCGTCTAAAATCTTCTAAACCATGCCCATCTGTCTGTCTCTTTGGATTTATCTTCTCTGCTCTAGTTTCCCTCTTACCCATCCAATGCCCTAAACAACTGCTTTCTCCTCTGTTACAAATATTTGTCATTTACCTCCTACCCTAAATTTAAAAAGGGCATGTTTTTTCAATCTATATACCAGTCCATACTTAAAAGTGACCTTTTCATAGACCCTGGGCCACCCTAAAATCCATCATTTACTCCTCTATTCTTTTGTCCAGTTTATTTTTCTTCTCAATGCTGATCACTACACCAAAATGTATACTCAAACACATTGCCTTAAATTAGAACCAACTAAGCTGACCTTCCATTGGGTTTCGGAGGCTCTAAATGGCTTAGTACGACAGTTCATCTCTCCAGCAGAATCTCTGGTACATTTTAACCGCCAGAAAGACATAGACTTTGGGTTATAATAGTACAACTCTCTACAACTTTTACTACCAGAGATCCCTGCGTGTGTGTATATAATTTTACATATCTACTTACTGCCCATCTTTCTCATCAAAATGAAACTCCATACAGCCTTAAATCTGGAATTTAGAATGATGTCTTTTAAAAAGCAATTATGAGTGACTATAATTCTACTACAAATAAAATAGCAACAATGTCAGTTAAAAGATTTAAGGGAGACCTGATCCAAGCTGTGTCATTTTCAATTGTTTCTTCTGAATCGGAAAGTTAGACAATAAATAAAGATGACTAAAGAACTGAGATATGATGTCTTAGTGGCAAGAACTGTGCTGACAATGCAAAGGTTCAAATCAACCAGCCAAGCTGCTCTGCGGGATAAAAATGGGCAAAATCTTCCATGTCATTTCCTGCCTCTGGAAGGTCACCTATGGGTCACTTCAGCCTCAAAAGTAAATAACAACAAAAAGAATTAATGTCTTTAAATTGTGGTAATAGTGAATAATACTTCCAAATACATCCGCTTCTGAAATGACTTGCCTCTGGAAACTCTATGAACCGTGCTCAAGTCTTTCATTCATAGGGTTGCTATTGAGTCGTCTACAATTCGACAGCACTGAACAACAATAACAACAACAGAGAGCTACGTTGGCCTAGTGGACAGAAAGTTATGCTACCAAGTCCAAGGTGGGTGATTTTAATCTGCAACCCTTAGATTAACAATTTTTAAATTGTTTTTTGTCAAACATTCTTCTAAGGGGTATATAGCACTGGTCTGTGCATTTGCTGTACAGAGGTAACTCGTGGTTGCTGTAATGCTAAACACTGTGACACTGAGGTGCCAAATGTGATAATGGCTACCCATGGCGGACAGTGTTTGGTGGAGCTTCCCGATTAAATCAAAGTTGGAAGCAGGAGTGGCATCTACTTCTGAAATGGCTTGCCTCCAAAAACTCTATGAACAGTGCTCAGGTCTTTCGTTCATAGGGTCACTATGAGTCATCTACGACTCGACAGCACTTAGCAACAATAATATAGAATATCCAAGGACTGCCAAAAGAACAAACAAATCTGTCTAGGAGGAAGTTCAACCAAGGTGCTACCTGGAGGACAGGGCAACACTGTCACACATACTTTGGGTATGTTATCAAAAGGAACTGGTTCCTGGAAGAATTTATCATCCTGGGAAAAAGAGGAAGATTTCTGACAAAATGGACTGACATAGTGACTACAACAATGAGCCTGGGTATGGCAAGATCAGGAGGATGGTGCAAGGTTGAGATGAGCTGTTCATAAGGTTGCTATGAGCCATAGTCAAAATGACAGCAGCTAACAATGCTATTTCACAAACAATCAAAATAATGCTATTGGTGCACATTATCCATATTAAATGTCACTTGCTCCTAATAAAAAATAATATTTAAAGAAAAAGAAAAAAAGACCTTACCGGTGTGAGCTGCTGAGAATTTAACAGCTGCTGAAATTGTTGTTGATGAAGTAGTATTTGTCTTTGCTGGTCAGAAAGTAATCCTAGACCTGAGGCACTGAAAAAGAATTAAAATTCTTATTTTTTAATACATACCTTTAAGGTATTTTTAAATGCAAAATTGAAATTTTTCCACTTGGTGTTTAATCAGTTTAGCAAATCAAGTGTTCAACTTACAAAAATTTAAAATATACATCAGTGCATGTAAATTATTGCCTATCTCTTTCCTCTCACATAATCAGCTAAGAAAAGAATTCTCATTATCAAGAAATTTTTATAAAAAACCACACCGACATTAAGTCATTTCATAAAATAGAAATTTACAGGTTTTATAAAGTAAACAGAATTATTTCTTTTTCATAATTTAACTCCTACAAAACAATAGTGTGCTCCAGTGGCCTAGTGGTAAGGAGCTGTGTTGCCAACCCGAAGGCAAGTAGTTCAAATCCATAAACTGCTACACAGGAGAAAGATGAGCAATGCCCCACCACCACCAGTGTGATTTACTGCCTCTGAAAACCTCTGGAGGGTAAACTATTAATTGGTCTGACTCAATGGCAAATAACAATAAAAACAAATATTTGTTGTTATGTTCTATCCAGTCCATTACAACTCAAAGCAACCAAATGAACAAAAGCTTTGAACTCTGCTTTATCTTGAGCTAATCTTACTGTTTCTGACACCTTCGCCCCATCACCACAGTCACCGAGTCAAACCATATTGTCCAGGGTTTTCCTCTCCTGCACTAACATTTTACTGTTCCAAGCATGTTGTCCTGCTCCAAGGATTGGTCCCTCCTGGCAACATGCCCAAAGTATGTGAGACAGAGCTTTAAAATCCTTGCCTCCAAGAAGCAACACAGCTTCACACTCTGAAGGGACAGACCTATTATTCTCTTGGAGGTCCATAGTGTGTTCAAGACTCTTCTTCAGCACCACAACTCAAAAGCATCAATTTTTCTTTTGTCATCCTCATTAATTATCTAGCTCTCTGATGCATAGCAAATAACTACAAAAACCATGGCGTGGGTCAGGCACATCTTAGTCTCTAGACATCATTGCTGTTGAGCACTCTTGAGAGATCGTTAACTTAAGACTTTCTTAAAACAACTTATCCTTCGAACACCAAGAGTATTCACTGTGGAAAAGAGCAAGATGAAATAATTAACAGTCTCAGACTGGAAAAGATCGATATTTGTTCCCATTCCTAAGAAAGGTGACCCAACAAAGTGTTGATCACAACAATGGCTGACTCTGAGAAGAATGTGAATCCCAGAAGATTTGATTGTGCTAATGCAAAACCTATACTTGGACCAAGAGGCAGTCGTCAGAACAGAGCAAGGAGACATTACATTGTTCAAAATCAAGAAGGGGGTCCGTCAGGGATGTATTCTGTCTCCATACCTTTTCAATCTGTATGCAGAACAGATCATCCGAGACGCTGGGCTATACGAAAAGGAATGTGGCATCAGGATCGGTGGAAGAATCATCAACAACCTGTGTTATGCAGATGACACAACCCTACTTGCTGAAACTGAGGAGGACCTGAAGCAGCAGATCAAGGACTGCAGCCTCCTATATGGACTGAAGCTCAACATCAAGAAAACAAAGATTCTCACCACTGTATGGATGGTGAAGAGACTGAGATAGTTAACAGTTTTCGTTTACTTGGCTCCACAATCAACACTCCTGATAATAGCAGCCAGGAAATCAGGAGACGAATTGCATTGGGAAGGTAGGCTGTGATGGACCTCTCAAGAGTACTTAAGAGCAACGACATCAGACTGGAGACTAAGGTGTGCCTGTTCCAGGCTACAGTCTTCGCAATTATGTGCCATGCATCAGAGAGTTGGACAATGAATAGGGCTGATAGAGAACTGATGCCTTTGAGCGGTGATGCTGGAGAAGAGTGTTGACTATATCATGGACTGCTAGGAGAACAAACAGGTTTGTCATGGAGAAGGTGAAGCCAGAATGCTCCTTGGAGTCAAGGATTCTGAAGCTTTGTCTGACATACTTTGGGCATGTTCCAAGGAGGGACTGGTCCTTGGAGAAGGACATCATGTTTGGCAGAGTGGATGGGCGGCTCAGGAGAGGAAGACCTTCGATGAGATGGATCGATTCTGTGACTGGAGTGGTGGGAATAAGTGCGTTTGAGATGGCTAGGTTGGCACAGGATAGAACAGCATTTAGAGCTCTTGTACAAAGGGTGGCTATGAGTCACACGTGACTCAATGGCACATAACAACAACAACAGTCTCTTCTCCATCTATCATGATGCTGTCAATTGGCCTGGTAGTGAGGATAATTGCTGATATTGAGCTGCAATCCATACTGAAGACTGGCTTCATCTTCTGCACAAAATGTCTCAGGTACTCCTCAGTTTCGACAAGCAAGGCTGTGTCATCTGCATAATGCAAGTAATGAATCTTCCTCTAATCCTGATGCCACGTTCTTCTTCATAATGTCTAGTCTCACAAATGATCTGTTCTGCATATAGATTAAAAACTATGGAGAAAGGACACACACTGGAAGCATTCCTTCCTTGATTTTGAGCCATACCATGGTTTTCTTATTCTATTCATATGACAGCATTCTGTTCCATGTATAGGTTTCACATGAGTTCAATCAATTGCTCTGAGATTCTCATTCTTCTCAACATTAGGCACAATTTGCTGTGATCCATGCAGTCAAATGACTATGCACAGCAAATAAAACACAATTTGTGATTCTTCCAGTACTCTCTGCTTTCAGCCAAGATCCATCTGATACTGCGATGATATCCCTAGTGGCAGGCTCCTCTAATCCTATCTTATATTTCTGGAAGATCTTTGTCACTATTCTAGTCATTCTGGATAATCTTCAAGATTTTGCTTGTATGTGATAGTGATATTTATATTTTTTATATATATATATCACTCAAATATGCTACTGATTTGATCTAACCTTTTGAAATAGCCCAAAAAAGTAAAACACCAATTTTAAAAATAGCCTCAGAAATAGGCAATACCCAACACAAATCTATTTAAAATTTCTTAACCCCTCTCCCCCTCCCCGTCTGAAATTTCTATAACCTTGCCCTGTAGATGGTGCAAAGCAAGGCCTCAAACCACTTCAATGCTACTCTCACAAGCCCTGCAGGAATGCACAGGGCCACGTCAGACCCGGGCACACTGGAGGCTTGCACTAAAATTATTAATTTAATAAAGGTACGTGTAATAACATAGCATTAAAAAGAAGTCAAACAACAATATAAAAGAATCTGAAATAGAATTGCTCTTGAGTTGGAGCCACTGCATAGTTGACCTTCCAGCAAGTTCCTGAGGCAGTATATTGCACAGATTAGCCAGAGAGGTGTAGCCGTTGGGGCAGTCATGCATCTCCCTATAAAGGAGGCCACCAGAGCTCCCTCACTTATTCATTATCAATGCCACTGAGTCAGAAGCAATATACAGCTGATCCTCCAATAGGTCAGTAACAAAACTCCCTATTTCTAACACAGCTCCCTAGTTTCTTTTTTAAATCAACATTCAAATCACATTCCAATACAATTACTAATGTCTTGATCTCTGGAAATTCAGCAATTCCACTACTGGGAATATACCCTGAAGAGACCATAGCTGACATCCAAGCAGATATATGCACACCCATGTTTATTGCAGCTTTGTTCACAATAGCAAGGAGTTGGAAACAACCTAAGTGCCCATCAACAAACGAATGGCTAGAGAAGCTGTGGTATATTCGCACAATGGAATACTATGCTGCATTGAAAAACAAGGAACTCATGCATTATTATTCAAAATGGTTGACTCTGGAGAACATTATGCTGAGTGAAATATCCCAGTCACAAAAGGACAAATATTACATGATGCCACTGTTGTAGAATGGGACTAACCTCGGGGTTGGGGTGAGACTGAGTAAGATGGGTTCAATAATGTATATTGCACTGAAACAGAGGAGGGAGAAAACTGCTTAAAAGAGATATGTGACTAGGTATTTCTGTCATCACAGGAGTCTAGAGCGATGGCTCCATGGTGGAGGAGGGTTTGTAAAACAATGAAAGAATCTTTTCTTTTACTTTTCCATAATTTTTGGACTCATGTACTTATAACTTGTTAGTCAAATTTGTGTCTTCTAGGTTGCAACACCCCCATGATACATCTTCAAGGATATGAACATGTACGGCTAAGCACAATTAATAACAGTGCATCTAAACTCCAAAATCAATCTCCATAATAGTCTATGTGTTTCCTACTGCCAAAGGGGCCCTTTAGAGTAGTGAGAGACGATCTTCACCCTGAAACCCACAGCGTCCCTTTTCAGCAGAAAGTAGCTAAGAGAATACGCCATCCCCTTTTCCTTATGAATCAGGGTGAAGTCTCTCTCAGGGAAGAGTGATAGGAATGGCAAAGGACACACTGACAAAGGAGATTAATCAGAACTGACTTTGACAAGCACTGTGGCAATTGGACAATTAAAACAGACATTCGGATGGCGGGGGAAGAAGAACAAACTGGGGAGGAGGGTAAGAGAGAATGGTGCAGCAATGAAGGAATGAAAACCCAAAATCCCTGTAAATGTTCATTAAAACTAATAAAATTTAATAATAAAAAAAAAGAATTCAAGATTTATATTTGACCTCTATCTTTAAGCAAAATCATTGATTATTTGTAATTATCTATTTAATGATTATGATTAAAGTACACAGCTGAATTTTAGTCACTCTTCCATATTCCTATGTTCAGCATTCATAATTGAAGATTAAAAGTATTCATGGGTTGTAGAGGGCAACTCCTCAAGGCTATGAGAGAATATAAGGTGTCAATTACACTGCATTAGATAATAAGTAATCCAGAAAAAAAATAAAATATACAAGAGTGTGTGCATTAATTGCATGCGAAAACTATGCTTTTTTATATAAGGTATTGGTGCATTCTTGATTTTGGTATTCTCAAGGCATCCTGGAACCAATCCTCTAGGGACACTTAAGGACAACTGTATTCAGCTGTGACCACCATTTTTTCCTTAGAATGTACGATATACAAATTTAATACACAAGCAATAAGGAAAACAAACATTTTTAAATACAACTTGTAGACCAAGACTGAAAAAAACACAGGATAACATACTTAACACTATAAAGGATTTAACTTTGTTTGAACCAGAATTATTTGCATTATAAAAGTAAATAACTTGAGGCACTATATCCTCACATATTTCCCCTGTCTCTATATTCACGAGAAACACATCAAAAACCTCAACATGAAAAAAGGAAAAGGAGGTGGTTAACTTAAATGTGAGAAACACTGTTACAATGCTACATTTAAAAAAAATCAGGGTTGAATCTACACAGGGCTCACCCAGGAGGCAAGTTTTCTCCTCCTAAAAACTGAGTAAGAGATCTTGCTCTTGTAGAGCAGCTGGTGGATTCAAACTGCCTGCCTTTGGGTTGGAAGCACAATTCCTTATCCACTAGGTCACCAGAGTTCTCCATATTTACACACTCAAATATATCCGAACAAGTTTCTTACCTGTTTGTCAATGTAGCTGGCATTGGATGTGTTGCATTAGGTGGTACAGTTGTATGGCTGAGGGGTGTAGGGTTCTGAGATATTGTGACAGGTGTCTGAATAACCCCATTTAAAGCTCCAACAATGCCATTGATTGCCAGTTGGTTACCTGGCAAAGCTCCAATTATTCCACCCACTCCAGGAACAGCAGGAATGGTGGATGTTACAGTCTGCATTCCACTAGCTAGTGCCCCCACTGTCACACCATTGACCTGTTGAACTCCACTAACTCCTGAGCCTTGCTGAGCTGGACTCTGCCCAGCAGGTGGTGGAGTAGAAAGAGCGGATGAACTGCTGGTGCTCTGTCCACTGGAGGGTAAATCCTAATGTAAGAGAAACAGAAACTTCACTTGTTAAGAACACAGAAAATGGTTTATTCAGTTTAAACCATTATGTAACATAATATTGTTCACAAGTAAAATGCATGAACGCAAGTGACTACAGCAAAATTACCTGATTTAACACAGGAAGAGAATTATCAGGTAAAAAGCTGTTTCCCAGGTGGGGGCTCTTACTGCTGTTTAAGGAATCAGTAGTAGGAGCTAGAAGAGTAAAAGAGACAAAACAAAACATGTTTACCTTGTTAAGTTACATTAAAGGTTTACTTAAAAATTTATGCTGAACATCTTAAATATTACGTCTTATACTCGAGAAAGCAATTCAAATGGGAAGTGTATATGGAAATTGAATATAAACCTTTATAAAGAAATCATTAAATAAATGTTACCATTGTGATATATAGCTGAAGAAATGAAAGCAATTTCCAGTAATAAATACTTTTATACTTACCAATCTGTGTTGAAAATGCATGTATTTGATGGGATGGACTGGGATTTGTGGTTATTGTTGGAAAAGGCACTGAAAGTTGTGCATTTAATAACTGAAGGCGTTCCTTTTTGGCAGTCAAGTTTTTAATCTGTTCCTCTAATCTTCTATTTTCAACTTGAAGTTGGTGTAATGATTTCAGCATTCCTAAAACTAACAAGCATTTGAAAGTTTTTAAGTGTGCCAAGTCCATACACAGGGCTAAACATTTAAAAAACATACTTTACAAAATAAAATAGAAAAACACGTAAATTCTATAAAAATATCCACACTCAAAGGAAATAATATTTTCATTAAAAAAATTGAAATTTATATGGTTTTTCATTAAATCATATTTAAAAGAGATAGTATCTCACACACACAAAAAAATCCTTTGCTTTACTAAAAAAAAAAGATTTTGCTACTTGCTTTTTTTAATCCAGTAATGCCACCAGACTTCTAGTAAAAATCCTCCAATTCCAGCTGCTAATCATGTTGATTCACATATCCCCCAGCAGGGAGCACTGTGTGAGCACTACAGCTGCTATTCTATTCCCAGATAAAGAGGCATCATCTGTAAATAGACTGTTATCATAGCCCATTCAACTCAAATACTGTCTCGGTTTCTACTCCTTTGACACCTCAAGACCTCTGAATGACCACTCAGGAGCTCTTATGCAAAAAAGGGACATGTAAAAAAATTCTGCATATTAAGAATCTGTATTTGTTTAATACGACCTCAGGGCCTTCCAAAGACAATTCTACTGGTTAAGAAACATGTTTATTTCTCAAGAATTTAAACTTTTATGTTTCCTCTTAAAAATTACACAAAGAAACCCTAAGTGTGTCCAAATGAGATGCAACAAAACAAAGCTAAACCTGTCCTCCAGCTATCCTGTTTAAAGGATTATCCTGGCATGAATTTCCTGACAATTAGCATTTTTGTCAGGGCACCATTCACGAAAATACCAATTCATGACATTTGGCTCATTAACAACAAGAAATTTAATAAAATATCCCAAAATGATGAAAATCATCTATTTCTCCCCCTGTCCATAATACACTTAATATCCAGCCACTTCTTTAGTTAACAACCATCTGTAATAATTTGCTTTTTGGCATTTTTACAAAGCTTGGTCTAATATGGAAAAATTATGATGATATTAAGTATGTATAACTAACAAATATATATACTAATTACATAAAGGTATATACGTAATTTATAATTACGTATTACGTGTTGTTATTATTTCTCTAAATTGAGGGAGAAAAAAAATCAACATGCTAGTTGACTGGTATTTCGATCACACACACACACACACACACACACACACACTCTCTCTCTCTCTCTCTCTCTCTCTCTCTCTCTCTCTCTCAATATGCCCACACTCTCCAGACGTGAGCTAGGTTTCTTCAAATAATTAAAAATACATAGCTCACATATTTTCATAAAAGGTAAAAACTGACGGGAACAAAAGAGAATGAAGATAGATATTATCATAATCAGTGTCACCAATATCATAATAACTAAACAATAATGTTAACCAGCTAACACACTAGTATTTTCTTTTAGTTCAGGAAATGCTATTTACATTTTTGTGTCATTTACTTCTCAAACCAATCCCCTAAGTATATTATTCCCATTACACATATACATATGAAAAACTAAAGGATATAAATTTAGCACTTTTCAGATGAAAAGTATTTTTCTGCATCCATCCACCTACCTGTCCATCTATTTACCTATCTTATTTAAAATGAAGAAAAAAGAACACTTACTGTCACTTGGAGTACCCTGTTCTAGTAAAAACTGCTGTCCTTCGCTCCACTGCCTCTCCAAAAGCTGTTCTATACTTGCTGCTACTGGAGGCAGATTTTCCAAACTGCTGCTGCCTGGTTGGTCATAACGAATTGGTAAGCTGCTTACTGGAGATCTGTTCAAAACAGTAATTCTCAAGTTAAAAAGAGGGAATTCCTTTTAAAGAAAGTGCAGTGAGGTTTCTTATCTTACACTGATGATCATTTTTTTTCTGTTTAAAGTTTCTAATACAAGTCTTCCTATATTCAAAGTTCCAAATTTATAAAACCACAGTTAGTAATCATTATACTTCTATCCTAAAATATAAAATAAAGGGATAGGTGCACTAAACCTGACAATTACAAACTACTAGAAAATATTAAAACACCGTAAATAATCCCTGAATTAGGTTTTAAAAGAATGTAGGAGAGTAGACAGGAAAGAATTCTACTATTCTGCCTTAGTAGTTAAAAGTATCAGAATAACACTGAGTCATTATAACTATGTAAAAGGTATTTTTGTTTACAATGAAGAAAATTTGAATAAAAATAAAAAACCTTTTTAACAACTTGAAAGCAGCAATTTATTATACACTTTTAAATCTTTTCTTTAACATTAAGTAACACTATTAAGATGAAGATAGTATTTTTATTTGAGCTATTTCATATATCCCGAAAATGTATACCTATATTTCAAATTATATTAGTCAATACTTCCAAAGTAAATACTGCATATATGAAGATGAACATGTATATGTTTTCTTAACCACGTTTTTCCAGAAGAGTAAAATCTGCCATAATGGCTCTCCAGTCTTCATAATTACATTAGTAGAAATGATCTGATCTTAATAACCTAGTAAGAAGTCAACAACTCAACACACTGCTGTTGAACTGGAACTGGCTCACAGTTGATTCCTGGATTTCTGAGGCTGTAAACTGCCCACTGTGCACCGTAGAAACTGCTAGTAGATTTGAACCACCAGAAAAGAACGGACTTTGGGCTAGCAGCACAACTATACCTATACACTATGCCACCAGAGCTTCCCATGAGACAACCTGGTTTATTCACTCTATTTTCATGTGAGAAAACAATTATGGAGCACAGGTGACTTATCCAAAGACATACTGAAGGTAAACAACAGAGTAATGCTACTACTTGTATTTTCTAATGAGTCTTTCATGCTCCTGCTCAAATTCAAGATGCTTCTCTACAAAAACTCTATTTAAAATTAACAAATTGGACATTTCCCCTCATATGTAAATATCACAAGCTATAGACAGGTGGGCTATCCCTCTCAAACAGAACATTATGACAGAATCATTTAGCCTATTATATATCAGAATGATTTTTAAAGAGTAGTTTATATACCAAAAATAATTTAGTACCATTTATTTTGTCAAATTGGAGCCCTGGGAGTGCTAGCTGAAAAGGCTGCAGATGGAAACCAATAGCTGCTGAGAAAAAAAGATGAATGTGGTAGTTTGCATCCATAAAGATCACACAGCCTATTCGTAAATTTAGGAATTTATGAATTCTTAGGAAACTCTCTGGAGCAGTCTTCTTCTGTTCCGCAAGGTGGCTATGAATAGTAACTGACTCAATGGAACACAATACTATTAAAATCTATTTAACAAATTAAAATAAGTGCACTAACAATACAGAGTTATCGTGAAAAATTTCTGAGTAATGTTGTATTTATGTTTTAAGTTTAAAAGACTTCATTAAATATAAGAACAAAATTCACTAAAACATCCTTCTTTGTAAGGAATAATATAAGACAGAATGTTTACTTTCTGCAGAAACAAAAAAAAAAAAAAGAAGTTCGTTTGTTTCTTCAGAAATTACATAGGAAAAAGGCACTTTACATCATCCATTAGAACAAAGTGCAATGTAAGAGGTTCTGTGAGCCACCTGCTACATTCACTACATTGTTCCTTAATAGATCAAAATTCAATTCATTGTCATTGAGTCAGAACCAACTCACAGCTGGCCTTCCAGTGGGTTTTCAGAGGCTGTAATCTACATGGGAGAAGACTTCCCATCTTTCTTCTGATAGAGCAGCTCGTAGATTCAAACCACCTGCTTTTGGGATATATATATAAGAACACTGCAAACCTTTTTCTTTTCCTTTTTTTTAAAAAATGTGAACTTTAAGGAAGCCGATCACCCAGCCACTTCTCCCCATGAAATAGCCAGTGAGTTCACATCACTGACCTTTTGGTTAGTACTTGAACACTTAAACACTGTGCTACCAGGGCTACTTTTACTATTCTTATGTTATGTTTAAGAAAGAGACTAAAAAATTAGAGGACAAGGAAAAAACAAACTTGAAGATGCTATATATATATTAAAAAGTAGAATAAAATTAATTTAAAGGTGGTGGAGGAGACAACAAATATCTCCCACTCAAATTTCTATTTTCTTCTAAAACCTGACAACAGTATTACTTCCTAATTGCCACCATGACCCTCTCTCAGAACAGAAGACTCAAGGCATCTCGGTTGTGCTGAGAAATTAAACCTTTTTGTATAAAGCTGGTTGAAAGTATGCTGCTAGCACAGAGTTCTATGAGCTTACAATGTATATAGGAATGAATGGTATCTGAATTCTTTCACATAATACACAAAATTGCTTCACACAATGCCAAACATCTGTTAGATTCTTAGTCACGTTAGTTATAACAGAGGGAGTTTTGAAGATCCACTACAAGAACTACACTTACTAAAAAAGATTGAGAGACTAAGAGGGTAAGTCTATTTCCCTTGATGGACCTAAACCTAGAATTCAAAGTTGAAAGCCTGATTCAATAGTTTTACAATACATTAAGATTATAATATGGTGAAAATTACATTTTAAAAAAATCTGTGCATTAATAGTGAAAAGAGCTATGGATACAAATGATAAACACAGGTAAGCCTTCAAATGGATTGGAAATCTTAAAAAAACACCAAAAACACAACACCTCAATTATAAAATATAATTAATATTCCAATATAGAATCCTTTTTCATGATTGTCTAGTCATTCCTCTTATCTACCAAATGCTTTTATAACCCACAAATGTGTACTCTATTTGATAAGAAATAAGTTTGCAGATCTCAAAATTATTCCTTTGCCTGTATTTTGCAGTGTAAATAAGCTTACCTTGGTGAGATACTTCCTCTGGGTGAGCTTCCCCTGCCAACAAGGCTGCGGTTATTGTCTCCAAGATCTTGATCTGCAGTGTAAATATTTCATAGCTGATAAAGTCACTCTCACTAGATAAAGAGGTTTTAAACTCTTGCTCTGATTCTTCCTTAAAATATACATTAAACCTTTGCCATGATCCTTGTGGTTACTATGAAAGAAGAAGTGCTAGTGTACCGCTAAGTTTAGAATTGCTGAACTGTGGCATGAAAGGCGTTGTCCCTGCATGTTTTCTTGTAGGTGTAGACCATAGATTATGTTCTATTCTTTCATTCCTTTCAATTTTACAGCACAGAAGTGTGGTTTGCATTTGCGTACCCTCCCCTCAGCCACTTTTAATTTCTATGGCTAAAGTAATGAATCACAGCTGTGGACAGCTAATCTGTATGCTTATCACAGCAAATCCTTATGCTTTGTATTTTTTAACACTTTGCATCCCATGACAAGTTGTAAAATACATAATGTAACACATAGTGCCACACACCAAGATGAAAATTACATATTTTGCACTGAGGTCTAAATTACATACACTGAACAAAGAAAGAAATGACAGAACACTAAATTTTAAAATGGATACATGAGCTGAAATATAGAATACTTAAAAATATACATATTTTTCATTTTTTTCAAATATTCTTAACTAATACTAAATATTCCTGCTTGCAAAGTACTGTTCCTTATTAAATCACCCTCTCTAGCTGCTTTCGAGGTTGTACTCTCAGATTTCTGAGTCAGGTGACCTCTGACCCTCAAAGGGTAAAGACATAAATGATCCATTCTTGGTAAACTGCTAGATTCATTCCCTTCCCCCAAATAGGCATGACTACTTTAACATGTCAACAAATCCTTAAGGATGAAATGAAACAAAGCAAATAGAGTGGATCGTAAAAAAGGTAAAGCTATAAAATGTCAAGTGGAAAAAAAAACCTTAGGATTACTATACACTTCATTTTTTAACAGAATTTTTTTTAACTAACTTTATTTAATGTAATTTAATGAATTATGCAAATAAATGTTTAGGCTATTCACAGGAAACCCAGTGTTAATGCTACTTTCTTACAAAGATCTGAAAAACTGCACACATCAATCACAAAAGTCACAGGAGACATTGTTACATTCCAGTCTGATGATAGTTCAGCGAAAACATTTACATTTCAGATAATTAAAAAAAAAAAGCCCAAAACAAAATCACTATTTTGTAGCACAGAATACTTTTTCCCAATGGTGGTGCTTTCAGAGCGATACATAGAAGGATGTTGATATAGCTAGCTGTATATACACACACACTGACAACACACTTTTAAAAACAAAACAACGAGCCAGTCTGGGGGGAAATGAGAGGACCACCATTTTAGTCATTTTTTTTTGAAAGCTTACCTGTTTGATTGTTTTCAGACTGAGCTATAAGAGTTGCCATTGATGAACTTGGGTTTAACCTATTGCCATACATATGAGATGGTGCTTGACTAAGAGAAGCTCCAGATAGGGTATTTGCCTAAATGAAACAGTTACAAAGATGAATGAGTTATATATGAAAATCTTACTGCTTCTTTTCCAAACAGATCTAGTAATTCACTATTCTTCCCAAACTAAAATTAAAAGCAAAACTTTATGAAAATCAGATTTCACTCTTGCTTTAATGCTGAAGTTTTAAAAATTTTTTAAATAAGTAAATTGGCACAAATTAACAAAAATTTTAAAAATAAGTAATTGGCACAAATTAACAGTTCCTGGTTTTATTATCAACATCTCTATCTAGTCAATACTGAAACCCAGTGGCATGTTAACCATGTGAGTAGAGAAGTAATTACTTAATCTTATTAAATCATTTACCAAATAAGGGCAGGTAGAAAACAGATGTCTTAACAAATTCTTCAGCCTCTTACATCCCAGGCTCACTAAGACAATCAAAAAGTCCAATTTACAGTTCTAGTATTTTAACTACATAATGTATATTTCTATTGCTTAACTCTGCCATTAGCAAAATCTGCACATTATTTTGTTACTTCCTATTCTGATAGACTTGGAAGCCTGCTTCTTTTTTGGTTTTGTTTTTATTTTAAAAGAAAGCAAACAGGCATCACAAGTATGTTTTCTATGCAATATAGGGCTCAACGAATCACAGCTTTGCCCTGACCCCATATAAGGCACTGTCTTTTTGGCAGAAAGCCAGCTCTACTAACTGAAGAGCTCATCCAAAGTTTGTAATTCATTCATGTTGCTAACCACAATTCTGAAGGCCTCTGCTGGGACTCATGCCAAACAAGTGAAAATGAACCCTTAAACAGATGAAGCTGAGGAGGCTGGCCAAAGTCTTACATAATCCAATGTAATAAAAATGCTGTCTTTGATGTGCATACTTTCTCTCACTTTCTAAGAATACTGTACTCTTAAAATGTGGCATTAAAAAAAAAAAGGTGGCATTTTGTAAGCACATCTCCTGTGCATCAGTTTTCTACAGAGTGCTACTACAAGTTTAAAATACTTTTTAGAATTAACAATCAAATTTAAAATAAACTTATTCTTCCTGAATGAAGTAAAACTTAAACTTTTATAAAAATAATTTTATAACAGCATAGCTATTTGAGACAAAATTCTTGACAATAATTTCAAAAAACTACAGAATTTATAAAAAAAAGTTGACTAACAGCAAAGCAGAACAAGTGGAGTATTCTGATATATATGACTGTATGTAAGAGACCAGGAAGACAGAGTAGTCACAATGGGCAAAATATTACAGAGAATAATTTGCATTTCTGAAAAGATTCATATCCTGACATGATATTTTGGCTACTACTTCATTTACTATTGGATGTTTGGTTATACACCATTAGCAGCAAGTCGGAAATGACTCACAGCTGACTCTCCAGTGGGTTTATAGATGCTATCAATCACATGGAAAGAGGTGACCATGTTTCTCCCATGGAGCAGATGATGGATTTGAACTGCCTTTGGGTTGGCAGCACAAGCCCTTACACTAGGCCACCAGACTCAACTTATTAACTATGAAAAATAGACTCCTACTTTTGTTTTTCCATTGTTTCAAAGGTGGTATTTCATACTTCGCCCTTAAATGCTTAAATTCTACCTATCAATTCCTGGGTATCATTTGTCCACTTATTAAAGATGTGTACAAAGTCAGTAAGATTATATTATAAAGTGTCACTTATTAAGTCAATTAGTACTCTAAGAAGGAAGTCATAACTTCAGTCTCCAATCACATTACATATTTAACATCTGTTTGACCATACATAAAAATAAAGCAAAAGGTAATAAGACATTTTTTACCTCCCCGGAAATTAGTTATTTGGAAACATTAACTAAAAAAAATAACTTGGAACAGGGCAAATTCAGATAGTAAAAAAAGAGATGACATCAGTCCCTTGTTTTAAACTCTCAGGTACCTAATCACAAAATAGCTTTTCTCAGAGCCAATTTAATGCTATTCTAGACTCAGTTCTAAAAAGACCAACTAAGGAAATAACAAATGGGAAAAATAAGCAGCAATATTTTGAAACATTCAGCTCCATCTCCATATGAATACTTGGGCTCATGGCCTGGAGAAACGAGTCCTTAGACAAGGACATCATACTTGGAAGGGTGGAAGGTCAGTTCGGGAGAGGAAGACTCCAGATGAGACTGACTGACACCATAACTGGGACAACAGAATTAGGTGTGTCAGAGAGATAGGGCAGGGTTCAGAGCTCTTGTACAAAGGGTTGCTATGAGTAGTGGGAAATTCAATGGCACATAACAACAATAATTAATACGTTTATCTAGAGAAGAAATTTTCACGATATGGAGAATCATTAATTCTATAAGGGAATGGGGATGGGGTTGTCAGAGAATGAGATAGAGAACCTAAACTAATTTTAGCTCAAAAAGTCATTAATGTCATTTTAACTGAGTAACATGAACTATCAAAGACCGTCCAATCTCTGTCCATGATTGATCAATACTTTTAAAAGAATGCTAACAACAGTTAGTGCTAAGAATGCTTGCTATAAACCTTTCTGTTTTCATTTCAGGGCTAGGTAACCACCATGATTTTCAGAAAAATTTCTACAACTTAGTATAAAAAAGCTGGTTAAGTGGAAGCTGAGGAAAGAGACAATTTACTGAAGACAGCATAAACTAAGTCTATGGCATTTTGCATACTGAAAAATTAAAAAAAAAAATCTTTGCTGCCACTGATAACTGGAGGGGAGGAAGGAAGTAAACAAAATAAAACCACCTAGAAGTGATGAAATACAGAAGGTCCTGATAGCTTTTAAATAAAAGAAATCTGGCCACCATACACATTTATATTGGACATGGATTCTTAAAGTACACCTGAAAGCCAATATACCATAAGTCTACCTCTGGTATAGATGTTGTTATTGTGTACAATCGAGTTAGAACCAAATCACAGCTCATCTTCCAGTAGGTTTTCAGAGGCAATAACTCACATGGGAGGAGACTACCCAGCTTTCTGCTATGGAAGAACTTGTGGATTAGAACCACATGCCTTTGGCTGGCACCCCAATTCCTTATTACTAAATCACTAGAGCTCCTCTGGTATGTTGTTGTTAAATCATGAAGTCAGCTGGTAGATTAAAACTATGTGCTTTTAGTTTGGCAGCACAACTTATTACCACTAAGTCATCAGAGCGCCCTTCCTCTGGTATAAAGACTGGCAATTATTCTGGGAAAATAATACTTACTACATTTTCATTTTCTCTTGTTCTGATAAGTAGCTGTCATGAACAGATATTCTTGGCTCTTGAACATACCATGGACTGACAAGAAAACAAATAGATCTGTTTTGGAGAGGGTGAAACCAAGTCTCTCCTTGGAGGCTAAGATTTTGAAGCTCCGCTTCATGTACTTTGGGCACATGGCTAGGAGAAACCAGTCCTTGGAGAAGGACATCATGCTTGAAGTGTGGTGGGACAATGCAGGAAAGGGAGACCCCGGATGAGATGGATTGATACAGTAACTGGAGTAATGGGGGTTGGTCCGTCAGAGTTAGTGCAATTGGAAAGGGTACACAAAGTCGCTATACATCACAGGCAGACAACAACAATAACATACTATGGCAGGCCTGGAAGCAGGAGTGGCATCCACTTCCTAAATAACATGTCTCTGGAAACTCTATGAACCTTGATAAATGTTGATAGTTGTAGAGGGGCTTCAGGCCTTTTGTTCATAAGATCGCTATGAGTCATGCTTGACTCAAAGGCAATCAACAACAACTAACACTTTTAAGACTATTATTAGAGATGTTAACATTTGAGGCTGAGTATAGGTCATCCACAATGGATGCTAACTATATTCTTTTTGCAACTTCTCCATGCATTTAAAGATACCTGAAATAATAAAACATAATTACAAAACAAACAATAGAGCAGCCTATTGAATAAGTTAATTTTTCAAAATTATAAATTCATAGTACTAGTGGTATAGTCAAGAGAATTGTACTGTTAACCCAACGGCTCAAATCTATCAAAGCTCCACGGAAGATGGGCAACCTCCTCTTCCCCTACAATCTATAGCATCAGAAACCCCATAATCAGTGATGAGATTGTTCCAACAAAACAAAAATGAAACAGAGAGAAATTATCTTAAGAAACTTGTACATTTCCAGCAATAATAGCAAAGTTCAACAGCCCTACAAACAATAAATGCTGGGGAGGTTGTGGAGAAATTAGAACCCTTATTTACTGCGGTAGGAATATAAAATGCTGCAACCACTATGGAAGGTGGTTTTGCACTTTCTCAAAAAGTTGGAAATAGAAATACCATTGGATCCAGCAATGCCACTATTGGAACACACTTAAAGAAACCAGAGCCGCCTTCAAAACAGATATATGCATACCCATGTTTATTGTTTTCTTATTTACAACAGCAAAGAGATGGAAGCAACCCAAGTGCCGAACAAAAAAGGAATAGAAAAACTATGGTATATTTGTCCAGTAGAATACTATACAGCACTGAGAAACAATGAACTAGTAAAACATTCTGCAACATGGACGACCCTAGAGGATATTATGCTGAGTGAAATATCTGCACTACAAAAGGACAGATACTGCACAGCACCACTGTTATAAAGCACATCTGACGTGGGGAATTGGAAGGAAAATAAGATAAGAGTGGATAAATAATGAACACTGCACTGGAATAGATGAAGGAAAAAAACTATTTAAAAAGAAATAGGTGATTAGGCATTATATGTACGACAACAGCCCAGAATAAAAGGTACACTGCAAAGAGGACTGGGAGGAGGTAATTGTGCAACAATGAATGTTAAAATAAAAAAGTGAAAAGGGTGAAGAAGGAAAAGGGGGTAAAATGCGCAAAATGAATGAAAAATCTAACTTCTGTAAACTTTCCTTAAAATCACAAAATAAATGTATTAAAAAAAAAAAGAAACTTGTACTTTAAAATTCAGGATTAGGTATCTAAGAGAATCCTTCCCCCACCACATTAATAATTTATAAAAACTACTTCCATTCA